AAATGGGTCAAGCCCAATAAGTGGTTAAGTGCATTACTAAGTGGGTCGAAAATTATAAGTCATTCAAAGAGTCGGAAAACTGGCCATGAGCAACACTAATAATATTGGGTTGCTTCAAATGGCCAAAATGATTTTAAGGTCAAGCCATATCATTCTAAGGAGTTGACTTTTAGTTTAGTCAATTGGTCAATGCGTATTGAGAGACTTATACGGAGTTACATCATAACTTGAGAGGTCGTTTGACAACAATTTGCCCGACACTCCAGTAGAATAAAATCTGATTATTTGTATTTCTTGAAATGCTGACAATTGATGCATTTTATACTATTGGCACGGTGAAACCAGCACCAATGTCATTTACTATGCTTTATTTTTGTTGGTTCCTCAATAATGTTTATTTTTTTCAATTTAGTTTATAAACGCGCCTTAATTTTTTTTTTTTTTACAAGAACTTCAACTTTTATTTGTAAAGTCTCACTTGTGGCGGAGGAAAGCCATGGTTACAAGCCAAATAAAACCACCTAATTTTTTCCAAACTACATGTAAACTAAAACAATATTGGAATATTTGAAGTCAAACTGTGGGGAGAAAAACCTCTTAAATGGGGAATGCCCAGTTTATCTATACGCAAAGCTCCTCTGACTGATGATGAAACAGCAATAGAATCCATCCAAATTTGTGAAACACTAGACGCTCCCATCTTTGACAGGATATCAGCTACCGAATTACCCTCTCGATGTATGTGTTGAACTCTACATGAGATTATACACAAAAGATATTGTATTTCTTCCCAGTAATCCTCTAAAAACCAAATACCACAAACCTTCCTCTTTTGCCAATTAACAATAATCAATGAGTCCAGCTCCACTTCAAATCGGTTAATCCCCATCCTTTTAGCATGTCGGAGCCCATATAATAATGCTAGTAGTTCAGCACCATTATTTGTACCCTCACCGAGCTTCTCAGCAAAGGCAATAACAATATCACCATTCTCATTCCTAATAATACCTCCAGCACCACAAATTCCAGGATTGCCCAGGCAACATCCATCAGTATTGAGTTTGTACCACCCCTGCATTGGTCGTTGCCATCTCACTACTTTACATTTTTCCTTTTTAATCGATTTTACTGGTATGTTCAGTTCCTTCAGCACCCATTCATCTCTTCTGTTTAAAGTTCTCGCTTCTTTTAGCTTTAAGCCCACCCAAGAAATCCAAACTTTTATCTTTTTCCAAGTAGCGTCTATAGGTTCCATCCTTCCCTCCATCTTGGCTGAACATCGCCACATACATAAATGCCAGCAAATAATACTACGAATAATACCTATCAGAGTACCTTTATGTGACGTTTGTTTTGCTCTTCAGAACCAAATTTCTACACGCTCTCTCCATCCTCGAGTCTGTGCATCGAATTCCTAGTAAAGTTGAACATTTCAGCCAAATTTGGTGAGCCACGTTCCCCAAGGCCAAGACGTGATTTTGATCCTCATACCCCCCTGCAAGCAACACATACACTTTGATACAATGGGGATACCAGCTTTACGAATTTTGTCATCTACCGAAATACCTCCCTTCATGGCCGGCCAGTCACATAATTAATTTTAGTATATTTAGCACAGTTCGACTTATCCAGAAACAAATTAACGTTGGAGAGAGCACTTTCAAGTGTATAAAAAGGAAAGAAATTAATGGGATTCCTAACGCTAATGGTTTGTTTGACAAGGTGCATGAACTAGATAGAGTTGGACATTTTTTATCTAGTCTTGTCAAATATTATGTACTAATTTTTGAGATTGAGAACTATGTTGTCACAACTTAGACTAAATATCAATGGGGAATGATAGAATGGAAAATCTTGAATGAGATCGAGCTTCTTTAATAATATGATGTAGTGTTTGTGATTGTCACCATTGAAAAGTCAAGAATTACTCGATGGCTATTTTTGCGAGGAATGAGAAACGTTAGTCAAGTCTAACTAAAGTCGATTTTCATTCATTCTCCCTCCGACCGCAGGTTTGTCCATGTCTATATGTAATGTGGATTGGGACATAGCACAATCCATTATACACTTCAATGACATATGGTTGATAACAAAACGTCACAGTAATTACATTCTTCGTCAGATTGACGTGGATTTTACAAGAAAAGGTTTAGTCCAAAATTTCCAACAGTTGCAAGCTAACAAACGCTAGTCGCTTAAACAATGTCTTCAATATTTGAAGACACTTGCTAATTACATA